GGAAGATACGGAAAGGTTAGCCGTCTTTGGTCGTAGATGCCTGCTTTTTGTCTGTCGTATCAGCTGGTATAACAGGTTGAGTAATATTGAGGTTAGGCGTCGAGTGTAACGTAAGTAGGGAAAGTCAATCAATCAGGTTGTGATAGCTAGCCAGCCATGTCCTAGCTGTCACCTTCTACAACAGGCAATGTTGACTGACATAAGATCAGGTTGTTGGTTGGTGGTCAAACTAAAACCTGGCATCAGTCCATGAAATCTTTGGCAGTTAGTGGGAGCCAACCACGTAGGAGGATGTAGGCAATCTGACTGGTTGGGGTCCCCAGGATGGTAAGAACCAATGAAGGCTGGAGACAATTGGTGATGTGGCTCGAAATCGTTTTCCGTTGGCGCGTATGCGTTCACTTTTTATAGTTTCCAATATCCATTAAACCCCAATGTTTTCCCATGTTACTGTTCTTTCTTTCTACCTCACACTTCTGCTTATCATCGAGCTTTTGAATCTCTCATCTTTTTTGTGTGTTACATGGAGTGTGGTAACTGCTGCACCTCTGTACAAAGTTCTATTTTGGGACCAGTGACTTATTCATTTCGGTCCCTGTCTACAAGTCGACTCTCAGTACAGAAGCTTGGATAATATCTGAGGATGAACATGATGTTATTCGATGGATGGTAAGTAGCAGTGGAATCCAGGATGAAGAACTTCGTTTTATTTGGCACTCGTCATCTGGTTGTACCTGTAATTCCGAATAGGTGATGGTGTTTCGATGGTGAGATTCGAACTCAGCACCCATCGTTTCAATCTCCAAAGCCCTATGCATCAGTACACTTGGGTCGTGAAAGTCATCTCCTTGTGTCCAGGTGTATTCTGTAATTCCTATCGCATAATTACACCTAAATGTCCGATTGCAGGTACATCCAGAGACGAGTCCAAAGCAGGACGAAATGCACATCTTGGATTCCACTGCTAGTCATTATTCACTAAAAATAAAATAAGTGTGGTATTCCATTCAGGCACTGGGACCCGATTCAATGGCTTATGAATTCTAACTGATATCAATCCGTGATCAACTCGTAAAAAACATAACAAACCCTTACAAACCAAACTATAAAAAATTAATCTGATGCTCGCTAGTGACTTGCTACAGGTTGGAGTTCCCTGAGTTCTAGTGAGAAGTCGTGACCTGTTAGGTCCAATTAGATGTCACGTGTGTGGATGGATGTCCCACCAACAACAATGGTTGGGGTCGCGCTAAATCACGAATTGGTAGAAGTTAGAATTCATGAGCCATTGAATCGGGTCCCAGTGGCTGAATGCTATACGAGCTTCCCTTGTAACCAGAAGGTCCCGGGTTCGAATCCCAGTGGGTGTGTACTGCCGATGATCCCCAAATTAGGATGAAACAGCAGCTGTCCAGTACTCCCTGGTTTTCAATGGTTCTCTAACTGATATCAATCCGTGATCAACTCGTAAAAAACATAACAAACCCTTACAAAGCAAACTATAGAAAAGTGTGGTATTTGCGAATAGGAGCAATGGTTCCGATGTATGACGCATACTAACGTCCTATAAATAAACCAGCCATCAGAACAAAGAGAAGAGTATTATAATAGTCTTATTGTTGCGAGTTTATTTACTATCCCGAAATAATTGACAAACCAATGGGAAAAATGTTTTTGAATAGATATGTGAGTTGCAGTCCTTCAAAATCTATGATGTGACAAAGTTTTTAAAGCAATCATTCAAATGTTAATTTGCAAAATAAATTGATAATGTAGACAATTTAAGGACTTTTAAGACATCACTCCTTAGAAATGTTAGTACTGTCATTTCTTCAAGTCATCTTGAAAGTGAACTGGTCATAATCTTCTGTGGTTGAACCAACATCTTCCTAGTAGCATTTTGTTGATTTGTTGTCCCTGTTTTGATGCGTGTTCAACAATTATTCGTTTTTGGACCTCACAGTGGAGGCGTTGCAATCCTCCTTTATGTCCCAACCCGCCTTTCTTGGTCTGTGACTGATTCGTTGAATAATACTGTTTCCCATTTATTGGATCGCTAGTCCCCTTTCCTTCATTCTCTCAAATCCGGATGTGTAATCTTTTGTGGTGATCTGTTTCTCTCCACGAGACTTCCTAGATGGTAGCAGCACGTGATTCGTGCCCACCTTTCCAGCATTTATGCGATAGACAGTAAGAAACTGATGCTAGATGTGTAGAGGTGGTCGGCAGAAAGTGCCAGATCTATTTATCGCGCCTGCTGACACTCGTCAATAACTAATTGATTTCAAGTCTGATTTCTTTGCGAACCGTCCAACTAGTTGAATGGTAATGTGGTTGCCTCATGAATTAAAGTCTCTGGGCCCGATCCTGATGAGGAGTTCCACAGTGGAACGAACTGCCTTTTCAGTATTCGAATTGGTTCTCAGTGATTATTCTCACAAACTTACAAATCAACAGTGGATAGTTTCAATTCGCTGTTGTTGTTTTTTTGAATAGCCTTTTTTCAACTTGTGTCGTTGATTTCCTTGAAGTTATATTTTCGTTTCCTGGTGGGTGACAATGAGATTTTTGACAACGCCTATATAATCCTAACATTCACTGGTTCGCTAGGCTGATACTGATTGAGTTTCAGGGTAATAACAACAAGAACTATAATGACCCCAGAAATCTACAGAAATCGGAATAATGACATGGACGAAAAATGAGAACTTAGTCGATCTAGAAGATTAGAAAGGCTGAATGCTTCTTTATCATTCGTAACGATTTTGAGCCATATCGCCAACAGTCTCTCAAGCCATTGGTTCTTAGTCCCTCGATGACCCCGCCCAAATAGTCTACATTCCCTTACGTGGCTGGCTCAGACCAACAGTCAAAGACTAACATGGATTTGATGCTGCGTTTCGGTTGGATGACCGTCTGACTTTTCTGGCCTCATTCTATGTCAGCTTACACTGCTCCACAAGGAAGGGGATGACTTGTCGTGCATAATATATATGCGATAGAAGTGTGTTTGAAAATCCAGTACACATAAGTCAGTAGGCAACATTTTCCCTACTCATGAAGATTTCTGCTTAGAACCAGACTGAGCACATCACGCGGACCAAAATCTCATAATTTGTGCGACTTCCTTTGTATTGCCCGTACTCTCCGACAGAAGTACATGGTTGGTTATCTTAAGCGACCACCTCACTGCCTGAGCCTCAGACTGGAATTCTGATTCACAAGTCACTGGGGGAGCATTCCCATGATCTCTGAGTGACCAAAACAGGTTCATACGCCATTTGATCCATTCAAATTCTGGAGGCCACATACACACACCACTGGTTTGTCATCAGGGTTTTCCAGCTCTCCTTAGTACTTTCTTCTCTTGCTTCGCGTGCTACACGGAATGTGGCGACTTGAACTTCCGCACATTTGTGCAAAGTTCTATGTCGAAAACAGGCAGACAGACAGTAGATTAGAATATCCACCAGTCCTATTTATTTTAAGCGCCCGACGTCCTCATTTGTAAGAAAAAGGCGCAAACAGCGAAGAAAGTTTTCCCTTTTTGACGATTTATTTTCATAAACTGCTGTAATTATATCGTAATTATATTTAACAATGAAATCTTTAGACCAATCAAACACTGGTAGACTTTGTCCTCGGAAAATGTATTACATAGTGTAAGTTGTAACCTAGAAGGGATGACTAACTGTAAGTTGGAAAAGAGGCAGAAGTTGGCATGAATTAATAAGTGTGAGGTGATGACTAATCAATCAGCTGGTGTAGAATGGACAGGAACTATTGGAAAGGCGATAGAGTGTTTTTACATGAAATCTGTAAGAAAAAGCAATGTTATTGAATTGAATTTTTGATTTTCCCGTCGATTGATTGGACCGAAGTGCTCGGTCTCGGGTTGACATGTCGGCTTCTTTGGTGTTTGAAACTATGGGCACTGGGTTCGAGCGTCGGTGAGAAAATCATCATCACTCACCGAGAAATGCAGGTACATCCAGATGACGAGTCCCAAATAGGACGAAATGCACATCCTGGATTCCACTGCTAGTCACCATCCACCAATTGTATACTAAAAAGCAATGTTATTAATAAACAGTAATAGAGTGGTAATAAAATATGTTCCGGTTTCAGATCTCGAATTGCTAATGCTTTAGCTATGTACAGATGACGTATGCGAAGTCCTTTTGTACAATATTGAGAGACTCTAAGTAACACTGTGAAGCATTCATGAGGGGGTGCTCGATGTGTGTTTGAGGATAGAACTGTTGCTATTCGTCTTTTCTCCTCTGGCTGGTTAACCAACGCTGGACAGTGTTGTAGAATACGTTAGTGGACTGGACGTTGAGTACTGTCGTTCTTTCAGTTTTGATGGGGGAATACAGGCGCCGCATGTAGGTCAGTGACAAAGGCAACATAGTAACATTTGCAGAGGAAGGCCAAAGTCTACCCACCTACCCGCGACCGTACCAGGTCGTTTATGATGACAGGAATGTTATATACTCGTCGCCAAATTATTGTTATGTACTGGTCGAGAAATTAATAGTCCTGACGCAAGAAAGACGGAAATCAGAAGACCACTAGGTTTGCGATGATACTTCTATTTTCCAAAACACCAGGAGAATCAATTCACACAAGAGTGTGAGAGCAAAAGTATATATGAATGTCCGAACAAGTGTGTGACAAATCAATAGACAGTCTTAACATGATTGGCTAATTATAATGGAGTATCGATCCATATATACATAGCAAAATATAGCAGACATGTCAACAAACACACATATTATATACATTGTTTAAGGAGACAGGTTCATCAAAGTGAAATGGTCACAGACTAAGAGAGCAACAGAAAGAGAGACCACCATACACATATATATGTATATATATGGATACATATCAAGGAACCAGTTAGAACCAATATCAATAATGCTGAGTGGATTCCCACGTTTCTGTACACTAAATCTATTGTCCTTTTTCCTTCCTCTTCCTTTATTTTTGCATTATAGACTATGCTTATGGATCAACATCGTCTTGTGGATTTAGGCAATCAATTAATTATAATTGTTAATTTAACATCTTTAGTTCTGGTTGTTTGTAATTATATGGCATCAAATGCATCATTGTTCACAACACCACCAGCAACAACTACCAGTGGTGCATTGTCATCAGCTGCTCCGCCAACAAAAACAATATTTTCCCATCCGTTATCCACTAGCCTACCTCAAGATGCAATAATCCAGTTGAAAAAGTCAATATGTCAAGATGTTGCACCGATATTACATGGGATTTCTTTAAATTAGTAAGTTTATTTATGCCTTTGTTCCCTTTCTTTTTTGTCATTATATCGTCAAGATGAACGCAACAAGTTAGTCAGTGATTGGTCAAGTTATTTAGTTAGTTAGTTAATCATGGATCCTAAGCAGACTTCATCTAGTCAGATTTTGAAAAGTACTAATCCGTAGTTAGCGTTCCGCCAAACCAGCAAAATGACTGTCCCCTGTTCAGATCACTTAGAGTTGGCCGGTTAGCAAGTACTACTGTAACGACAGAAAACAAGAGCCAGGCTACGCATCGTTTATTTAGGAGATCAAGTGACATATATATATATATATATATATGTATGGTGGTCTCTCTTTCTGTTGCTCTCTTAGTCTGTGACCATTTCACTTTGATGAACCTGTCTCCTTTAACAATGTATATTCCCCTTATATTATATATAATATGTGTGTTTGTTGACATGTCTGCTATATTTTGCTATGTATATATGGATCGATACTCCATTATAATTAACCAATCATGTTAAGACTGTCTATTGATTTGTACACACACTTGTTCGGACATTCATATATACTTTTGCTCTCACACTCTTGTGTGAATTGATTCTCCTGGTGTTTTGGAAAATAGAAGTATCATCGCAAACCTAGTGGTCTTCTGATTTCCGCCTTCTTGCGTCAGGACTATTAATTTCTCGACGAGTACATAACAATTATTATTCGTTATTCGAAGCAGAGAAACAGCATCTTCTGATTGGTTTTCTCGCTAAAAGTTAATCTGTCATCTCAGACGTTCTGGAAACAGATTTAGATATTCTAAGAGAAATCTTCATCCAAAATGGATACCCAATAAGATATATCGACAAAAATATCAAACCAATAATTCGGAGAAACGAAACTTTAATTGCGCCTAAAAAGAAACTCTACGTGAACTTGGATTTCAAGGGAGGTTTAGCAAGCGATATTCTCAAGAGAAGGATCACATCATCTCTGAGAAGAACATTCTTTGCAGCAACACTAAGAATAGTGTTCTCCAGTCGCCCACTGATCTTCAGAAGTCTCAAGGACAAGGTCCCGCCTTTGACCACTTCTATGTGCATATATCAGTTCATCTGCTGCTGCGGAGCTAGCCAGCTACATCGGTCGTTCGACGCGCACCCTGTCCAAGAGGATTCAAGAACACTATCCAGCAAGATTGTGAAAAGGCAATAGTGGTGCAATAAGGAATGCGATAATTGAACACAAAGTTAACACTGATCACTCCATTTAACAAACGCCTCCTTCAAAGTTATCTACAGAGTCAAGAATAACCTATCAAAGGCAATACGGTTTCGTCTCCTTTGTATCGCTGAAACTCTGGCCATTCACATAGAAAAACCGGAGCTGTGCATACAAAAGAGGATTACTCAACCACTTCTACTGTCATGGTAACAACTTTTTTTGATTTGATTTTTCTCGGTTTTGATGACTTAATTTTGTTTCTTTGCCTGTTCTTTAATTGCTTATAATTCATGTATTCATTCAGAACTCTTGCGTAATTTCATATTATCTACTTTGTTTCTATGTGCATCCTGAGTAAAACTCACTCATCAAACTATTCATATGATTACACAACTTCTGTTTAACAACTGTTTGTGACAACTCATCACCTTTGTTACTACCCTAATTTAATTAACACCTAATTTTCTTGACTTGTATTACCAATCTTCACCTGTTTAGTTAAAATAACCATAACCAATTGTAATTTCGTTTGACAAAGTTAATGTACACATACATACAAAATAGCATAAATGTATTTGCGATTGTCTGTCTGTCTGTCTGTCTGTCTGGATTCAACATAGAACTTGGCACCCAAGTGCACCAGTTCGAGTTGCCACGTTCCAAATAGCACACAAAGGTAGACACCAAGATGAGTGAAGAGAATCAATAGAGTTTGACAAGTATAAGAGTGAAACAGAATGGGTAATGTAGTAGAAAGGAATATGAAAGATTACAGAGACTGAATACATCTGAGCTGGCCATTGACAACGATTTTGAGCCATGTCACCTATTGTCTCCAGCCATTGATTCTTAGAGTCAGTCCCGGAGGCCCCAACCCGAAAGTCTGCATCTCCCTACCTGACTCATCAGTTTAACTGTCAGGGAGGATTTCATGGATTGATGAGGCCATGTTTTTGTTTGGCCACCACTGGCTCTTTTCCAACCTGCACCACCTATATCAGCTAGTAATACCCGTCGGGGGAGGCGGTGGTTAGGCATGCGCAGCACGTGACCTAGCCATCTTAGTCTATATAACTTTATAGCATTTACGATTGTACAGTTAAGAGGATGAATTCGCCGGAAAGAGACTCTTCGTTGATCTACGTGTTTTGTTTTCATTAATCTGTCATCTCTTTGTGGCCGATTCTTTAAAGGTCAGACCATATATCTGCGAATCGTATCCGCCCACGCAAAGTCTGCTGTGATTGGTTGTTGAATTAGTCTTTGTTCTTTCTTTTCTCTCATGATCAAGATATGAGACGTAAACATTGATGTAAATTGCTGCCTACCGATTTTAGCTAACAGACAGCTCTCGCCACACTACTAGTTAATGTGAGTAGTATACAGCTACTCATCTCTATCAATTAGTAGTACATAAAATCATGTAGTCATTTTATTGTTGCTTGACTTTTTTCGTTTGTAAATTGGTCATATTGCACAACATTACATTATATTACTACCAAAGACTTAAATACGTCGGTGGTATAGCGGTTTGGACGCTCGCCGATCATACACATGGTCTGGGTCCGATTCCCGGCCGACGCAATTCTTTTACGTCGCTAAGCCGGAAATAATGCTGGTAAAGAGGAAAGGTTGGGTATGAGGCTAGCAACCTCATCCTGTAAAATCAAACACTGCTACAAGAAACTTCAAGCCCTATGTTCCACAGGGAACGTGAAGGGGAAAAAAAGACTTAAATGACATATTTTCGGACTATGGGATTTGGATTACTTCTAACAGATGGTTTTCGTCACAAACCGCTATCAGTTAGAGATCACTGAATATCAGAGAGCACTTGACAGTCGTTTCATCCTAGTCGATGACTCTTCAGTGGTGGACATTCACTACCGCTCCAGCTGGGATCAAACCCAGGACGTTCAGGTTATGAGGCCAGCTCGTCAATCACCCAGTCAATAACCGATGTATTTTACACGATTCGCCGTACATACATATATAGCACAACCACTGGTCAATTTTATCGGCGAGTATTTGTTCTCACATGCGACTTGGTGAACCCCACTAGTCACGAATTTTCAGCAGAACTTCAAGCAAATTCATCCTGTAGAGTCAGTCACTACAATAATTGCAAATGTTAAGGTTTTCAGGGAATTAAAATTCAATGGAGGCTGGATTTGAAATGGTATTAAATTACCCGTCAATTTATTAAATGATGACTATTGAATCAAACTAGTGGCTTTTTCAATCGCTGTTTCAACTTGATTTTGATTCGTGACGAAATTTGACAATTGCCAGCTGATTGTTGGCTACTGGATGTATAGATGTCTTGAAAATATAATGAGAAGTCGTGACTAGTGTGGGTTTCATCAATATATCAAGGTGAACTGTGGATACTCGTCAGAGGTGTTTAGTTGAAGGGAGGCGTTACATCACAAATTGACAGAAGTAGTTGAATAATCAACCTGAAGGTCGCTGGTCTGTCTGTTTTTGACATAGAACTTTGCACAAATGTGCGGAAGTTCAAGTCGCCACACTCCATGTAGCACGCGAAACAAGAGAAGAAAGTACAAGAAAAGCATAATAGAAACAGTGAGCAGAGGTGTGAGACAAAGGAGTAATAACGAAGAACAAAACAGTTTCATTGGAAATCATAAGTCACAAGGAGTGGATGCATCTGCGCCAGCCATTGAGAACGATTTTGACTCATATCACCAATTGTCTCCAACCACTGGTTTTTACCGTCCCGAGGACCTCAACAGTCAGGAAGTCTACACTTTCCTACGTGGCTTAAAGTAACTATTGTGGATTTCATTGGCTGATGAGGCCATATTTTGGTTTGACCGCCGCTAGCTTTTTTCCAGCCTGACCCTATATCCGCTAACATTGCTCGTCGAGGGAGGCGATGACTTGGCATACGTAACACATGTCCTAACCATCTCAGTCGATGTAATTTCACAGCCTCGTCGATTGATTTCCCCTGTTTACCTAGAACTCTGCGCCTAACCTCAATGTCGCTCACCTTATTATGCCACTTTACACGGGTAATAGAGCGCAGGCACCTATGATCAAAGACAGCTAGTCTTTTCATGTCTTCCACTCTCAGTGGCCATGTCTCATTCACAGGCATAAAGGAGGACGGAGCGGACTGATGAGCAGTACACCCGCCCTTTGGTCGATAGTCGAACATCTCGTCTACGCCAGAGTCGGCGTAAACTGGCGAATGCGAAACGAGCCCCATGTATTCGTGCCGAGATTTCGTCAGAGATCAACCCGTTGGCACTGGCTGATGGTACTTCCCAAATAAGTGAAGCGGTCAACGTGCTCTACCACTTCACTTCCTACTTTTAAACTAGGCGTCGATGTAGTCCAGTCCTGTAACATCATCTTGCATTTGGCTGGAGCGAATCGCATGCCAAACATTCGTAGATTGCGGCTCAGTGTGTTCAGAAGACTCTGCATTTTGTCAGCGTCTTCGCCTAGAAGGACTATATCGTCTGCATATTCCAAGTCAACGAGATTATTCCCCGGTAACAAGTCAATCCCTGAGTCGCTGAAGTCACCTAGGGTTAAGTCCATTAACACATCTATGATGAAGTTGAATAGAAAGTTGAATAGCAGCACGTGACCTAGCCATCTTAGTCTATGTAACTTTATAGCCTCGTCGATTGATTTTCCCTCTTTGCCCAACACTCTACGCCTAACGTCAACATTACTTATCTTGTGAAACCACCTAACGTGAGACAGAGATCGCAGACATCTATGATCGAAAGCAGTCAACCTTTTCATGTCTTCAACTCGTATTGGCCATGTTTCAGAGCCATAGAGAAGGACGGACGGAGCGAACTGCTGAGCAGTACACACGTCCCTTGGTTGATAACCGGATGTCACGCCTACGCCAGAGATGGTGTAAGTCAGCGGATGAGGCGGTGGAGATCCAGTGGTTTTTACTCACCTTTGGGTTTACCTTATTCACAGCTTTTACAGCTGTATCTATGGCTGCCTGGATATTTTTCCAAGCTTCTTCAGGGTGAGCACAGCTGTCGAACACAGATATGTGTTTAGCTAGTTCAGTAAAGAGGTGCGAGACAAAGGAATAGTAATAACGAAGAGCAATATAGTTTCATTTGAAATCATAAGTCACAAGGAGTGGATGCATCTGCATTGGCCATTGTGAACGATTTTGAGCCATATCCCCAATTGTCTCCAGCCTTCATTGGTTTTTCCCGTCCCAACCAGTCAGGTTGTCTACGTCCTCCTATGTGGCTGGCTTAAACTAACTGTTGTAGATTTCATTGACTGATGAAGTCATGTTTTCGTTTGACCGCCATTAGCTAGCTCTTTTCCAGCCTGACCCTATATCAGCTAACATTTCCCGATGTTGTGGAAGGCGATGACTAGGGATTTATGAGTAACACATATCCTAACCGTCTCAGTCGATGTAATTTCACAGCCTTGTCGATTGATTTCCCCTCCCACCTCGCCTAACCTCAATATTGCTCACTCTATTATACCACCTCACACGGGAGACAGAACGCAGGTACCTATAATCAAAGACAGCTAGTCAAGCTTTTCATGTCTTCCACTCTCAATGGCCAGGTCTCACAGGCATAGAGGACGACAGAGGGGACTAATGAGCAGTACACCCGCTCTTTGGTCGACAGCCAGCTGGCTGGATATCACGTCTACTAAGCCAGAGACGGCGTAAACTGGCATGTGCGAAACTAGTCCTCTGTATCCGTTCTGAGATTCTGTCACAGACCAACCCGGTGGGGCTGATGCAACTTGCCAAATAAGTGAGGCGGTCTACGTGTTCTACCACTTCACTCCCTATTTCTAAGCTAGCAGTCAGTGTAGTCCAGTCCTGTAACATCATCTTGCATTTGACAAAAGGAGCGAATCGCACGCCAAACATTCGTAGATTGCAACTCAAGGTGTTCAGAAGACTCTGCCTCATTTTGTCAGCGCTCTCGCCTAGAAGTACTATATCATCTGCATATTCTAGGTCAACTGAGATTATTTCCTGGTAGCTAGTCAATTCCTACGTCTCTCTATGATTAAATTGAATAGAAATTACTTTCAGGCAGTGAACTGACTGTGCATTGTGTGTTCCCTGGTTTTCCCATGATCCCTTCAACTGATACACTGTTTCGTGACGCCATCTGTCGATTGACCAAATGTATAACCATCGTTCTTGTCTTTTTTCTTTCCTTTCCTTTCCTTTCCTATTATAGCAAACCTGATCAGTTAGTTGATGATATCATAGAACAGGTTATCACGACAATAGAATTATGGTATAATCGATGTATGCTGGAATCTGGCGGCAGCAGCAGCAGCAGTGGCGCTAGTCAATTACCATCTACTAATCTATCGTGTGAATCTTTACCGACAGTAGTGAATGATTATCATAAGCCAGCAACTGGTGGTGGTGTTGCTTATATTACTGATTTTGGACGTACAGAATTAACTGGACAATTGTCAGCTGTTATTAAAAGTGAACATCCAGTTTATAAACTAATGCGTAAGTGTTAAGTAGTTCGCTTATTTATTTATTTATTTGCTTATTTTATTGACTGTTAATTGTTCTATTTTTCTAAATTTCTGCCCCTCGTGCACTTTCTTAAACAGAACATATATATATATATATATATATATATATATATACATTAAATCAAGTGACTGAACCACTGCTACTTCTTGTATAATTAATAGTTAGAGTTTAAACCATACTTTTCAGATGACTTATAGCATCATATGACTTGTTTTAAGCTCTTTCTTGGTTTTAGTTTGTTTATAGTTCGGTTTAACTATTAGTATTATTATTCCCTTGGGTTCCGGGTGGAACAGGGAGGGGGGCTGGCTTCAACAACAAATCTCCACTTTCTCCTATTTTTTCTGCTGTCCTCTTCATCTGGGTCCATAACCTCTCTCATCTCTTCTTCACACTGACGATTCACACGTCGCTTCCTATTTGAATTTCACTCGAGTGATGGCCTGTATTTCGCGCAATTTTATCCTCCGATCCCCTCAACATATATCCGATCAATCCATCTCTATTTCCTCCTACATAATTTGTTAAGTAATCGGTTCTCGCCTGTTGGCTTGTCCCCCGCTAGCCAGAGTTTCTTGTTACGAATTCTTTCTGGCCGGCCGGCTGGCTGGCCATTTGATATTCAGTATGAAGTCAGTCAACCAGCAAAGGCGACAGCTGTTGATAAAATTTTGTAACTTGTTGGAAATGCTTTTTTGTGACACACAGTGTAAGTTTCTCACCCGTATAGAAGAATTGTCTGACTGGCATTAGTGTTTCAAATCCGAGTCTTGTGTCCTTTATGCTGAATGCAGGAGATTTCTAAAACTGATATCAGAGTGTGATAAAGTTGTATGCCGCCTTCCCGATTCTGACTGGTCCCAGCTTTGACATCTTCATCAATTCCGGCTGTAGTCGAAACGATACTGACTCTAGACAAGTGAAGGAAGTAACCCCTCTCAAATTTCTTCTTCCCTGAATAGGATATAGACACAGGTCCTCCATCCCTAACTGAGGTTACTAAGGCTGTCACCAATCTGAAACTAGGCAAAGCAGCGGGACCTCATGGAATGACTCCAGAGGTATTTAAGTACGGTGGAGACAGCTTACTGTCTGGATTAACTGAGGTACTAGGCAGCGTCTGGGAATCAGAAGAAGTCCCATCGGGTTGGTGTAAGTCACTGATTATCCCCATATACAAGAAGGGAGACAAGTCTTCCTGTGATAATCACAGAGGGATTAGCTTGACTAATATAGTATCTAAAGTCTTAGGCTCAATAATCATGCGTAGACTAAGTGGTGCTCGGGAGGCACAAACACGAGAGAGCCAGGCAGGCTTTAGACCAGGAAGAGGGTGTACTGATCATATCTTCACCCTCCGACAGATTCTAGAACATAGGCATTCCTACCGGCGTCCAACAGTCATTATATTTCTTGACCTAAAGGCAGCTTTCGACTCTGTCGATCGAGAAGTTCTCTGGAGATGCTTGGCTGCAAAGGGAATTCCGAGAAAATATATTGCACTGATCAAGGCACTGTACTCGTACTCATACAGCCAGGTGAGGGCTTACAGCGAGTTGTCATCTGAACTGGTGACGACTAGTGGTGTCCCTCAAGGATGCCGATTATCCCGTTTTCTATTCAATTTCATCATAGATGTGTTAATGGACTTAACTCTAGGTGACTTCAGCGACTCAGGGATTGACTTGCTACCGGGGAATAATCTCGTTGACTTGGAATATGCAGACGATATAGTCCTTCTAGGCGAAGACGCTGACGAAATGCAGAGTCTTCTGAACACACTGAGCCGCAATCTACGAATGTTTGGCATGCGATTCGCTCCCGCCAAATGCAAGATGATGTTACAGGACTGGACTACATTGACGCCTAGTTTAAAAATAGGGAGTGAAGTGGTAGAGCACGTTGACCGCTTCACTTATTTGGGAAGTACCATCAGCCCCAACGGGCTGATCTCTGACGAAATCTCAGCACGAATACAGGGGGCTCGTTCCGCATTTGCCAGTTTACGCCGACTCTGGCGTAGACGAGATGTTCGATTATCGACCAAAGGGCGGGTGTACTGCTCATCAGTCCACTCCGTCCTCCCTTATGCCTGTGAGACCTGGTCATTGAGAGTGGAAGACATGAAAAGCGTGGCGAGCTGTCTTTGATCATAGGTGCCTGCGTTCTATTTCCCGTGTAAAGTGGCATAATAAGGTGAGCAACATTGAGGTTAGGCGTAGAGTTCTAGGTAAACTGGGGAAATCAATCGACGAAGTCGTGAAGCTACAAAGACTGAGATGGTTAGGACATGTGTTACGTATGCCAAGTCATCGCCTCCCTCGACGAGCAATGTTAGCGGATATAGGGTCAGGCTGGAAAAAAGCTAGCGGCGGTCAAACAAAAACTTGGCCTTACCAGTCAATGAAATCCACAACAGTTGGTCTAAGCCACGTAGGAAGGTGTAGACTTCCTGACTGGTTGGGGTCCTCGGGACGGTAAAAATCTATGGTTGGAAACAATTGGTGAAATGGCTCAAAATCGTTCTCAGTGGCGCAGATGCATCCACTCCTTGTGACTTATGATCTCCAATGAAACTGTTTTGTTCTTCGTTATTACTCCTCCTTTGTCTCACCCCTCTGCTCACAGTTTCTATTATGCTTTTTTTATACTTTCTTCTCTTGCTTCGCGTGCTACACGGTGTGGCGACTTGAACTTCCGCACATTTGTGCAAAGTTCTATGTCGAAAACAGACAGACAGACAGACAGATGGTGAATGGTGTTGGTTCTTTTTGCTGTCCCTGTTCGTTGGTTGACTATCTTCATTACCTCCGTCTTCTTTGTGTGTTCACCTGGAGTTGTGTCTTCGCTGCTTACTTCTTCTGCTGCTAGTTTGTTGATGTTCAACTTAAAGTCTTCGAGTTTGTACAACTATTATTCAAGTATTGGTTTGTAGGGATTTGGTTGATTGATTACAGGATTTCATCATGAGCTCGTGATCAATAGGGTGCAGCAGGTCGGGTGTGAGGAGAAATACTCGCCGAAGACATTGGCCAACGGTTGCGCTATATCGTGAATTGGCAGAGGTAAGAATTCATGGGTCATTGGATCGGGTCCCAGTGGCTTAATGGTATACGAGCTTGCCTTGTAACCAGAAGATCCTGGGTTCGAACCCCGGTTGGTGCGCACTGATGAAGAGTCCCAAACTAGGATGAAACAGCTGTCCAGTACTCCCAGGTTTTCCAGTGGTTCTCTAGCCAATGTCAGCTCATGATGAAATTCTGTAAACAACTATTATTATTAATTTTCCCTTGGGTTTCGAGTCGAAGACAGGGCCTCAACAGCACATCTCTATTTTGTCCCGTTCTCCGAGTTTCTCTTAAAGCTGGTTTCACGACTGCCCATAGTCTCTCATCTCCTCCTCACACGTTCACCTTCATTTCACTCTCAGACGCCCCCACTCGTTGTTTCCCATTCGGGTTCCATTCGAGGACCTAACGTTATGTATTATGTCATCCAAAGGTCTCCCTCCTCAGCGTATTCCTCCACCACCTCCATTTTCTTCAGCATATTTCCTGAGGAATAGATTGTGTGTTTGTTTGTTGGTTCGTTCTCAGAGTTTTTTTCTTGTTGCTCATCCTTTCTGACTGGCCATCTAATCATCAGTATGGAGCGAAGTTAGCTGTTGGTAAAAATCTACCGCCTGTTAGATATGCGTTTCATGACCCGCTAAGTCCCTGACCTATATAGAAAAACTAACTGACTAACTGGTTTCAACGTAGAACTCTGTAGAGATGTGCAGCAGTTCGAGTTACCATACTTCATATAGCATACAAAGCAAGAGAAGAGAGTTAGGAAAGTTTCAAAAAAAAGAGATAATAAACAGAACTGTGAGGCAACAAGAATATTAACATGGGAGAACAATAGAATATTATTGGATATTATAGATCACAAAGAGAACAATTTTGAACCATATCACCGATTGTCTTCAGCTTCTTCAGGTTTCTGCCAACCCGAGGACCCCCAACCAGTCAGGAAGTCTACACCCCCATACGTAACTGGCTTATACTAACCGTTGTGGATTTGATTGGTTGATGAGACCATGTTTTGGTTAGACCACCAGTAGCCTTCTCTTTTCCAACCTGTTCCATTCTATGTCAGCTAAGATTGCTGACTGTTGAAGAAGGCGATGGCTAGGTATGTCTAGCACCGGTTGGTACATCACGACTCTCGGTAGCCCAAATTTCGCAGGCCGACCATAGATATCAGGTGTGCGCCGGCGTGGGCTCGAACCCCAGACCATGTGCATGGTCGGCGAGAGTCCTAACCACTGTGCCTCCGACGCTTCCCTTTTTGAAAGTAACATGAAATGATGAGCGTTGTTGATAAATATGCTTCCTTGGTTTCTGGATGACGTCATTCATTCTCTCTCTCTCTCTGTAATATAAAATATAACAACCATGATCACGGCGTATCAACATTTTTTCGTGTGTCAATAGTGAGATGCTCACTGTAATGACTACTTATGTATTTAGATTCCTGTATTCCTTTAAGCGCTCTGTATTGTCCTGTGCCTTGATGAATGATCGATACCGTATTTTAGATATGATTATTTGTACTTATTAAAAGTCATTTGATACGTGATACGAATGGGTTGTAAATCAACTTGAATACATTGCTCAATGGAGTTAAATATTTGAACAAAGCAAGAACTACAGTTTTAGCAGAATAAATAAAGTGGTACCATCATTTATTTCGTTGCCTTTTCGTCAGCTGCTAACAGGGCAAAGACATTATTAAATATATCTACAAAAACAAAAATCAGTCGATCAATATATGCATACAGTAATTATATTATTATTATTGTTCCCTTGGGTTCCTAGTGGAACATAGGGCTTCAACTGCACGCCTTTACTTGCTTCTGTCTTCCTTCTGCTGTACTTTTCACCTGCATCTATGTTAGTCCATTCTGTTTCAATTCCTCTTCACACGATCTCTTCCATGTCATCCTTGCAGTGTCGATCTACTCGCCGCTTCCCTTTCGGTCTGGTTCCACTTGAGGGCCTGACGCGCGCGCGATGTCACCCAGCGGCCTCCTCAGCCGTGAGTGTTCAAACCATCTCCACTTTCTCCCGCATATTTGTTGTTGTTGGGCGATTGGTTCTTGTTTTGTTTGTTCCCAGCCATAGTTTCTTGTTGGTGATTCTTTCCGGCCCGGCCATGTGATCTTCAGTTGGCGTAGGCGTGACATCCGGCTATCAACAACCAAGGGACGTGTGTACTGCTCATCAGTTCGCTCCGTCCGTCCTTCTCTATGGCTCTGAAACATGGCCAATACGAGTTGAAGACATGAAAAGGTTGACTGCTTTCGATCATAGATGTCTGCGATCTCTGTCTCACGTTAGGTGGTTTCACAAGATAAGTAATGTTGACGTTAGGCGTAGAGTGTTGGGCAAAGAGGGAAAATCAATCGACGAGGCTATAAAGTTACATAGACTAAGATGGCTAGGTCACGTGCTGCGCATGCCTAACCACCGCCTCCCCCGACGGGCTTTGCTAGCTGATATAGGTTCAGGTTGGAAAATAGCCAGTGGTGGCCAAACAAAAACATGGCATCAATCCATGAAATCCTTGACAGTTAAACTGAGTCAGGTAGGGAGATGCAGACTTCCGGGTTGGGGCCCTCGGGACTCTAGGAATCAATGGCTGGAGACAGTAGGTGACATGGCTCAAAATCGTTGTCAATGGCGCAGATGTATTCAGTCTCTGTAATCTTTCATATTCCTTTCTACAATTACCCATTCTGTTTCACTCTTATATATATCAAACTCTATTGGTTCTCTTCACTCATCTTCTTGTCTACCTTGTGTGCCAATTGGAACGTGGCAACTCGAACTGGTGCACTTCGGTGTCAAGTTCTATGTTGAATCAGTATAGAGCGAAGACAGTTGTTAATAAAGGTCTGCAACAGGCTGTTGCAAATATTATTTGTGACCCGACCGCCAAGTTTCTCTCTGATCCGTATAGAAGAACTGACTGACTTGACGTTTGTATTGAAAATCCGAATGAATTTTGTTGTTGATGTTGTCTGAGTGACGAAGATTTCCAGATTGGTTTCGGGTTGATGATGTTGATGTGTTTCTCGCCTTCCCGATTCTCGATTTGACATCCTCATCCGTTCCTCGTGTAGTTGAGACAATGTTCCCTAGATAAGTGAATGAAATAACCTCTTTCAAATCCCTCCTGTTGGTGGTGATTGGCGCATACAGTAATATATATATATATATATATATATATATATATATATATATATATATATATATAATATTAAACACTATTCCGAACAATAATAATCATACACATTGGAAGCCTTTCAGATGAAAATATCCAGTTAGCAGGGCAAAGAAAGACTGATAACCGCTTCTTTCTGGACGCATAAATCAGGTTTCAGGCGCTTGATGGAGATGACTTCAGCAAACTTGAGCTGAACTGAACTCTTTTGCCTATTGAATTGAATGATTTTGAGACGTCCACCTCATGACCCGTGTCAAGACGATGCCTGGCAATGGCACTGTTTAAAGCATTTGTTCCCTTTAGACATAAGCTTTTTGGTACATGTTCAGAAAATCGTAGATATACTCTTTTTTCTGTCCTTCCGATGTAACTGCTCACGCAGATACATATAAATTTGTATATACAGTTGGAGTTGTTAACATGAGAAGGATATCTATCGATTTTGATTGCACCCAAGAGCAAGTTGTTCGATAGACGGAGTTAAATTTTACTGGTTGATAGAATGCTAGTCAGCAACGCAGGTGTGGTATGGGATTAGATTCAGGACCGATGCACTCATAGACCTCATTTGACTGATGATAAGGCCGATAGATAGGGAGGGGGTTTGGTGTGAGGCTGACAATCCATCTCGTAAAACACAACAAGCACCACTGCTACTGAAAGTTCAAAGCTCATGCTTGTTGGTCTATATGCTCCACTGAGAATGCAATACCATCAAATCAATGTGCACAGTGATGGCGAGTTAGCTAGAATGGTTGTCACATTACAATCTGACTGATAGAATACAGTGTACACCAATCAGAGGACTAGACGCATCACACTAGTTACTAGTATCAAAACAAAATATCCACTACAGTCCTACAGGAGATCAATCGCGACCTCGAATAGCTCAGTGGTAACGTCTCTGATTGCAGCACTGGGTGACGCGGGTTTGAATCTCAGAAGGGACATGAGTTCCTTCAAGGTTGCAGATACGCCTTACTGACTAGTGCCAACTAGCACGAAACCTAGGTCCAAGGCTTCCTGCCGATTGCCTCCAACCATCTAATACCATCAAATCAATGTGCACCGTGATGGCGAGCTAGCTAGAATGGTGGTCACATTACAACCTGACTGATAGAATTCAGTGTACACCAATCAGAGGACTAGACGCATCACACTAGTTACTGGTGTCAAATCAGAAAGACTGATTATTGATTTTTCATTCTTTTTCCCCCTGTTTTTTTTTCAGATAAACGAGCTATGGATTTTCTACGCTCTGCTCTATCATCTTATCCACCAGAACCGCTACCTCTACCGCCAGGATTCAGTATTCTCTTAGATCTTGATCAGAATAAACTTAGTACAACAACAAGCAATAATGGTGCTGCTTACCTGCATCAAACCCCGCTGAATATCCCGACAACAATGATGTCTGGTAGTGGTGGAGCTAATGCTTCAACTGCTGCTAGCACCAGTAGTAGTAGCAATTTACGTTCACCTTCATCACCACCTCCTTCCAGTTCTCCACATAATCGTCTCCGTCATGAATCGGAAAGTGGTGGTGGTGTTGGTGGTTATAAAGCGTCAAAATTTGAAATATTGAGTTTATCCGGTTTAGCGAGTCGTCTACTTCCTTTATTGGCGCATAATCGACATGTATTCGGTTCATATTATGCCGAGATTATTCAGCCTTTAATTATGCCAACAACGTCGTCGCCGTCGTCGTCTACAGCACCATCGAATCCTAATGTCGTCGATAAAAAATAAACTATATATATATATATATATATATATATATATATAACTAGTCATTTTAACTTCCTTTGTATGCATGTTTGTGGGTGGGTGTATAATCACTCATTATCACGTCGCGTTGACCACAGGGAAACACAATCGTCACCATCATTCGTCAACATCCGTCTTGGTGAGACATAGAAAACAGGAACAATCGTGTTTAACTCTTTTTGCTCAAAAATGCAAAATGAAATTAATCGCAGCAATTTATTTATTTATTTGTTTTTTTTGTCAATACCATAAATTTTATCTTTCTCTATTGATTTTCCATGCTCCTCTTCGTCATTTTGAATTTTTGCGTATTCTGTCTGTACCACCCCTCTCTCCCTGTGTGTGTACTTTTCTCTTCTAAACTTGTTGATGTAGTTGTTAGTGAGTAGTGCTGTCTTTTTAAACCTTTGTTCTTTCAACCTTTTTGCGTCAGTGTATCATAACTCCCCTGGCGCATCAATCCATTCGTCGTCATCGTCGTCGTCACCGGCATTATTGTTGTTGTTGTTATTTTCGTCGTTGTTTCGATGATAACCGTCGAATGGAATCTTTCAGTTTCTCTCATTTTTTTTAAAATAATATCTTGAAGAAAATTAAACCACCTCCAGACAACTTCCTGGGATTCATCGTTTTCCACCTTTAATATGCACGTGTTTGTGTCTATATCGTCAGTAGTAATTCGTCAGTTGTCTTCCTTCTTTCCCTATCCACCCTGCTGATGAAAAGTGATATTGATTAATAAGGGGGCGGGGGGATAAGAGAAACAAAAACAGGGAACTCTTTACTCCTCTTTATTTTTCATTTCATCCATTGTCGTCAACACCATCATATATATCTGTTACATCATTACTTTCATTCTTTTTTTCTCTTTTCAATCTGACCTTCCCCCCCTCCTCCTGCGACCGTGGCCGCCACTGTCCTCTGCGGTGCCTCCCCCCACCCCCAAGTTACTGCGTTGTACACAAAATGATTTTTCCCCATAAATTAGTTAGTTCATTACATCCCTCTGTGTTTGTGTTTAAGTGCGTGTGTGTCTGTGAGTATGTGCATACTCTGGTCTTTTTCTTAAATTATTGAGTTTTCAAAAGTAAAAATAACAAACTAACCACTAACGAACAAACACACAAAAAATATGGGAAAATAAATTATGTGTTTGTTTTTCCTTAATACTTCTCTTTTCATTACTTTTTATTTTATTGTAAATATATATACAAATATATGTGTGAAAAGTAGACGGGATTTCATGAAAAGACTAGCTGTCTTTGATCATAGGTGCTTGCACTCTATCTCCCGTGTGAAGTGGTATAATAGAGTGAGCAATATTGAGGTTGGGCGTCGGTCGAGTGCTAGGTAGGTATTATGTACTCGTCGCCAAATTATTGTTATGTACTGGTCGAGAATTTAATAGTCCTGACGCAAGAAAGACGGAAATCAGAAGACCACTAGGTTTGCGATGATACTTCTATTTTCCAAAACACCAGGAGAATCAATTCACACAAGAGTGTGAGAGCAAAATATACATATATATATGAATGTCCGAACAAGTGTGTGAACAAATCAATAGACAGTCTTAACATGATTGGCTAATTATCATGGAGTATCGATCCATATATAAATAGCAAAATATAACAGACTGTCAAACAAAACACACAATTTATATGGATATATATATCAGCAGGTGGGAGAGGAAATCAATCGACGAGGCTGTGAAGCTACATAAACTGAGATTGTTAGGACATGTGTTACGCACGCATGCCTAGTCATCACCTTCCTCCACATCGGGCAATGTTGGCTGTTATAGGGTCAGGCTGGAAAAGAGCTAGCTAGCGGCGGTCAAACAAAAACATGACTTCACCAGTCAATGAAATCCACAATAGTTAGTTTAAGCCAGCCAGCCACGTAGGAAGATGTAGACAACCTGACTGGTTGGGATCCTCGGGACGGTAAAAACCAATAGTTGGAAACAATTGGTGATATGGCTCAAACTCATCGTTCTCAATGGCTAATGCAGATGCATCCTACTCCTTGTGACTCATGATTTCCAATGAAACTATATTGTTCTTCGTTATTACTATTTCTTTGTCTGACACCTCTGTTTACTGTCTCTAATATGCATTTCTTCTCTTGCTTTGTGTGCTACAAGGAGTGGAGTGTGGCGACTTGAACTGCTGCACATCGGTGCAAAGTTCTATGTCGAAAACAGACAGGCAGATGGGAACTAGTTCATCAGTGTACAGTGTCTTTGATACAAACTTCATGCCACACACCCTCAGTAGAATGGTGCTTAATGAATACTTGGGCGGGTATGTATAGGGAAGAGGATAATTAAAAGGACTGTCGAACCTTCTTTTTATTACAGGATATGAATACTTCAGTCGAAGGAGTACATAGATCCCAGTAGCTGAATGATCCAAAGGCTCTCTATTCATCTTGGGCTCAAAATACGGTGAGTGTATACTGATGAAGAGTTCCAAACTGGGAAGAAACGGTTGTCCAGTACTCCGTGGTTTTCCAACATTTTGGTACGTTAGTTGGTTCAGTAGTAGAATATTTACCAGTCATTGAAGGTGTCCTCGGGTTCGATATCCGGCTGACGTGATCCTGAGTCTCGCTTAACCAACAGTAAGCTAGCTCGGTAAGGAGAGGAGGTTGAAGGCGTGAGTTTAGTAGAAAACCTGCGTTTTTCATTTCAGTTAAGCCATACATACTTGGTCAAAGAAACGACTAAAATCTTTTAAGGCATAAGAGAATCACAGTAATCAATATCAGGAATGTGCGTTGGTGGCATAGCGGTTAGGACGCTCGTCGACTACGCACATGGTCCAGGGTTCGATCCCCAGCCGACGAGGCACTCCTTTACCTCGCTGAGCCAGTTATAAGACTAGTAAAGAGGGAAGGTTAAGCATGAGGCTAACAACCCCATCCTGTGAAAAAATAATCACCACTGCTATAGAAACTTCAAGCCACTGGCTTGAAGCCCTATGTTCCACTGGGAAACGTGAAGGAAAGAAAAAGAAGAATATCAGGAATGATTGCTGATTTAATTCTAATGATCAAACCTACAGCTTATACCGAATACATCAAAGATAATTTCGTCATTTTCAATTATTATTATTATTTTATTCCTTTGCGTTCCGTGTGGATCATGGGGTTTCAGGCTTGAGCTCTAAAGTTTCAGAAGCAGTGGTTTTTTGTTTTCTTTTCACGGCGTGAGGTTGATAGCCTCGTTCCCAACCTCCCCTCTTTGTTGGGATTATAACTGGCGGGGAATTGAGCCCTGAACCACATGCACGGTTAGGCAGCATTCAAACTCTGAACCACTGACGCATAGATTCATTTCCGAAGTCAGTGAAATAACAAAAAAACACCTTCGAACTCATTAGTAAATCATTTGGAAGAATTCATTCTACAGAGGAAGCAATAAATAAGGTCGCGCTAAATCACGGATGGTAGAAGTTAGAATTCATGAGCCATTGAATCGGGTCCCAGTGGCTGAATGGTATACGAGCCAGCTTGCCTTGTAACCGGAAGGTCCTGGGTTCGAATCCCAGTGGGTGCGTACTGCCGATGATTCCCAAACTAGGATGAAACTGCAGCTGTCCAGTACTCCCTGGTTTTCAATGGTTCTCTAACTGATATCAATCCATGACCAACTCTTAAAAACATAACTAACCCTTACAAACCAAACTATAGAAAATTAGGTCTCCCTTCTGTTCATCAATACAACTCATGATGGCAGCTTGCTTAAAAGTAGTACGCAGGGATACTATTCACACAGATGCAAACTACAATAGTAATCATCCGGTATCTAATAAAGACATTATTTTCAAAAGTCAAAACGGAGTGCAGCACACAGACTTTAAGGAAGACTATCTACATTAGGTGTTCAAAGTAAGTGATTATCCAAATAACTACAGCAAGAGGGGGGGGGTGTGTGGCTTAGGAGTCAGGAATATGCTAGACGACCGATAAGAAGACTTCATCTAGAAGAAGATCTGGATTTCGCAGATGATATATATCCGAATGCCATACAAAGTGGAAGACTTGCAAGTGAGAACCAACAAACAGGACTCCAAGTGGACATAGAGAAGACGGAGGGGTGATGAAGATAACCAATGAACCGCCAGCACAAATCACCATCATCAACGGGAGATATTTAGCAGAGGTGTTACTTCCTTCACTTATCTGGGAAGTATCGTCTCAGCTAGAGGGGGAACGGACGAAGATGACAAAGTCAGCCTGAATCGGAAGGGCAAGATACGCCTTCATCAAACTGAAACCCATTTCGTAATCTTCCACATTCAGCATAAGGGACAAGATTCGCATTTTCAACACCATTGTCAAGTTGTATCTTCTATACGGTCAGAAACTTGCACTGCGTGTCACGAAAAAGATTTCCAACAGGCTGCAGGCTTTCATCAATAGCTGCCCACTTCGCTGGCTGGCTTCATACTGAAGAACAAATGGCCAGAAAGAATAAGCAAGAAGAAACATTTAGGAGGCTGGCGAATGACATCGCACGCCAGGCCAACACTCGAGTGGAACCCCCACGGGAAGCGACGACTGGGTCGTCATTGTGAGGGCGATATGGAGGAGGTCGTGTGAGGAAGAGATGAGAGAGTTTAGTCTATCATGGACCCACCTGAAGAGAATGGCACAAAACAGAACAAAGTGGAAATGTGTTGTCGAAGTTAGCCGTATGTTCCACTGGGAACGCAAGGGAATAATAGATAATAATAATAACCTCGTTCTTTATTGTTTAGTGTGTCTCAGTAGCATAATTATCACTCCTGCCCTGTGACACGGCAGTAGGAAGCGCGGTCGTTGTTAATCCGGCCCCAGCCGATCTGGCATGATATTTTGTGAGTTTGTATGTATCATAGTGTTGGATTGGGTAGCTGCTTTTTGTTTGACCGCTATCCAAACAACCTTTCTGGCATGGTAGGACCTCAAGAGGCATAAGTCTCAGCCAGTATAGCTTG